AAATAGATAATCAAAAGAGAGAGTGAAATGAACGATATTTTTATTTATTTTTCTTATGTTTCTTGCTTTCATTTAAGAAATCATTGCAAAATGTTGTCAACAGTTATATTAAAACGATGTATGCAAACAAATTGTGATCATTATGTAATATTTAACAAATAACTTATAAACTATGGTTAAAGTAACGATTCAAAAGTTTTGCTCATGTCTTGAGCTGTGGAAGGGATGTGTTTTGGCCGGAATATTCTCTATGGTATTATCAATTATTTATAATCTATAGTAATCAGATTAAAATATTACAATTTAATAATATATTTAATTATACATGTTATTTTAGAACATGTAAGTAATAGTTAAAAAAAATTTTATTTATATTAATTGCAAATAATTATCAATTGTTTGTTTTCATTAAAATAATTAACAAATTGGCGTCAAGTGAATAATAGGGTAATTAATAAATAATAACTTTTCCCAACCCTTAGGCCACAAGTATTTTTGACTTATTGTGGAGTATCGCCCATATGTTGGAAGAGGAAAATGTTTTTGTTTTTTATTTGTGTAAGTTTTCTATAGATTTATATGAATATTAAAATTGTGATAAATATTAAAAAGTTTTTCATAATTTCTCACTGTTTTTATCTTTCAAAGTGTTTACTCTCGGAATACAAAGTGTTTTATTCATCGCTGCGTCGGGTCTTCTGTTTGTTGGTCTCGTGAAGGCATGCAATCAATCATTACATTCGTGTTATAAAGCGGTCATATATTAGCGTCTAATCTAATGTCTTCACTCATATTTGTCATTAGAAATCCAAATGGCTATTAATGCCCTGGATATGTCTCGCAATCCTCGATATTCTCATCAATTTCTTCATCTCATTCATGGAATTGACTTTAACTGTAAAATTTTATCCTTATTTTGTGTACATTTCATTATAAATCATTATTAATATCACAAGAATAATGAATATTCACATAAATGTTTTATTTGTCCATAGAGTCGGACGTACGGCACGCCATGTATTATACCAGTGGCCGGACTCGCGGTCACTGTAATGGTCTGCGCGGTTCTGGTCAGCACTTCATATAAACAATGATAATATGAATTATTAATAATAATTGCATTAATGAAATAATTTTCATTTTTATTAATAGCTATACTGTTTATTATGCGTTTTCGCACAGTTCTTGATTTACAACGGAAAGAATAGTCGTAAGGATACGATAAATAAATATTTTTATACATTACTTTTTTCTAACTTCTTTCTCTCTATATTTAATTATTTATTTAATATTCAATATTAAATGATGCGATAACTTTTGTGAGTAACCACTGAATTAGTGCAGACAATATTGCAATTTATAACTCAGTCCACGAATTGAATTATACTGTAGTTTAAGTTTATAATTAGTAAAGAAAAGGCAGTAATTATATATGGGATGTGAAGACAATTTTTCTATTCATTAGAGCCCCTCAAACAGTATTGACTAAACATTTGAGTTGTTTTGAGTTACGAAATCTTATTGTTATTATTGCATATAAATTAAGTAAAATTTTTTCGCGTCTAATAATGTATTTAGAATTACAATAGAAAAGGATGTAATTAGTAGTAAATTCATTAATTTGGAAAAATTATTTACAATTTATTGTTTTTCTATAATTCAATTAATAGTCGGAATAACAGAAATCAAAGTCCTTTCCACACAAGAAATTAGTTGTAAGTTATAAACACTAATAGAGTAGTTATTATTACTCTCTAAAACTCTTAGAGCTCTTAATTTTTTGTTAGAAAATTCAGATTTAGTTTTAAAAATAATCCAAACATTAAGTTAATGACCGCTTTTGGGTTTGAAATTCATTTATATTGTGCAACACTACCAAAGGCTTTAAGAAATGAGTTAAAACATGTTAAAAACAAATTCTCATCACTTGTTTTCCACTAAAGATATATTAGGAGAATTGGAAACCTATTAGACTACCTATTTTGTAGTGTAGCTAGAATTATGAAATCAGTTTCAAAATTTAAGTTTACATTCTTAGGCACCGGAATCCAAGTTTCATTAGATTTGGATAATTAGTTTAGACGCTGGAATATTTCAAAGTACACTAGTCAAACTAATGTATTCCTATGGGAGGGTATCATTTTTGGCATTTGATGACGTGTAAATTTGGACTAAAATTTATCATGCTCAAATGCCAATAGAGATTATACAAAACCCTTCCTCTTCTGAAATCTCTAACATTCAACAAATCTAATGATATGCTATTCAATGGACAGCATTGACGGGCACCCGAACTACGGACACGTCATTATCGGTAGTCGACCCGATTGACGGCATGTGTTCGGCGGGTTTGCATCTGATTCTGTCTGTAGATAATGTTGTGATAACTGCTCTAAACTATTGCCGGATAACATATAGTGATTCTTATAATTAATTAATGATTCCAAATATTTTGTTGGGAAAAATATTTTTATTTTAAAAACAAGATGATTTTTGGGAAAATATTTTACTGCAGAATTTTAAAAATAATTCCGACTCATACATTTTGAAAATCTCGTGCATAAAAAGTATTTGACCGATTTACATAAAACTTGGATTCTGGTGCCTAAGAATGTAAACTTAAATTATGAAACCAATTTTATAATTCTAGCTACACTAGAAAATAGGTAGTCTAATAGGTTTCCAATTCTCCTAATATTTAAATTTAGTGATTACATGAGAAATAGTGATCCTAATTATCATAAATTAAATAATATATGCACTAAAATAAACTTAAAATTGTTTTTACTATCTCTTTTTAGTTTCTATTTTGCAACACTTTCCTTACTGTGAAATCATTGCATATATTTTAAGCATTAGTTTTTTGTTTAGTAAATCCTTTTTTCATTAAATACTTAAAACTAATGTAAAGTTGGGATTACCATGATCAATTTTCAAAATGACAATTATTGCATAAAATATCGATGAATTCTACGGTCAAAAGCGGACGCAACTATTTATTGGGAAAATATTTTTCATGTATCATAAACTACAGACACGAGACATGTTTTAAATGTTTAATGACTTCATTAACAGCAAAACTGGATGAGTCGGACGGAGAGCCCAATCATTTTGAAAACCATAACGTGCTGTCCGTACCGCAAGTGACAACACCTCGCGATGCCTGGTAGGGGTGGGCCGCCGGTGGAGGTGGTCGTAGACGACTATCCATACCATACGATAACACAGGGATAGTGACGGATCGACTAATGATGGGGACGGCTGTACGCCATGGTCTGGTGGTCACTATCGGTGGTCATACAGGCGTGTCTGCAGTTTATGGACCAAAAACACACCAACCATTTGCTGTTTTTCTATACTCTTTCACATCATATGCTAACTTAATGTTCAGTTTTTTCAATCCTGTTGTTAATTAAAAGTGTGTTTTATGTGTTTCTCTCATTGCATACCAATTGTGATACATGTATTGTCTTTGCTATTGAAAGCTCTCTATATTTTAATCTCATTCTTTGCTAATTTCTATTTCATTCAGTTTTTATAATTGTTATCCAAAAATAAAGCCAATACTTTATGACTAATATATTGCTATCATTTCCTGTATTTCACACAATATTCTTATCAACAGATTTTAATTAATATTTTCATTATATGTGTAAACATTTTAAAATTTTAATTAATGATTACATTTGAAATGCATTTGCATATACCGTACATCAGTGTTAGTCATACACTGATATACTGTATTTGATAAGTTAAGTAAAGTAACTTTATATATTTAATGATTGATTTGTTGATTTTATAATATCCATACAATTATTATAACCATTATATTTCTGATATATTTATACATCATTTGAATTGAATATCTATTTATAGGCATAAAATTCTTTGAATAACTTTAAGGCCATTGATTGACAGCCAATATTTTGGGCTAAAATCGTGAAGTATTAAACAATCATTAAATACATGGAAATACTGTTTGAGTAATATTTGTTTTCTCAAATGAAATCCAATTGAACCTAGGTCCATTATGTTAATGTGTGTGCATTATTTTGTCCATGATAATTTTCACATACATCAATTTATTGATTTTGCTTTTAAATACATTTTTAGTTTGAAAATTCCCTTTAATTATGTGTATTTGAAATGTTAATGAAATTAACGGAACCTTTAGTTTTTTTGGTGAGAAAAGCGGATATCCGAGTGCTGTCAGTGGCTCTACAACACTATCATTACATAACATACTGCATATAAATCATAAAAACTTTTATTCTCGTTATAAACTATATTTAATATGAAATATAATTAAAATATCATAAACACATAAAACCATAAAAGTAAGTGCTATGTAATAAATGCTAAATTAAAGTCCGCTAGATGATTAATTCATTACCCATAACAAAGTATCCATGATCAAATTCTAAAGAAAAATCGACTACCAAGAGAATATTATATAATCCTAAACATACTGTATATGAAAAATCTATTTTTAAAATATGTAAAAATTAAAACAAAACTTTTATTGTTTGAAAAACTATTTGCACTGAAAGCTTATACCGGGGGTAATGTGAGAAAACAAATAATAGTTATGTCCATGATCAAATTACAACATTGGGGGCATTGCATGTATTGCCCCATCAAATGGAAAGCACAGACGTATGCAATGAATGGGCGAAATAGGACTCGGAATCCGGGCATACAGTAGACGTCAGACACAGTAGTCATACAATCGGTGAATGAAAATGTAATGCAATTCAATGATTAGAAAACACTGTTTCAAAAACTAACGTCTCGTAAATGTATTGTACGTCCACTTGTACTAAACGTATGTCATATATGTAAGCATTTATGGCATTTGGCGTTCAATGCATTGCTCGTT